AGAGTCTTCCAGAACTGGTTCAATCAGATCTGGCCAGATGACCCCTGCATGCTGGTTCATTGCTTCCCATCCTCCCCTACAGAAGCCGGGGTTCTGCGGCAGGACGTGGGAAAGTGCAGATGGCCCAAGCAGAGAAGGCTTTATGGTACCTCAGAGCCAAACTGATGCCCGCAGCAGTGAGCCCTTCCTGTTTGGGATGGGGGTGTGTTTGCAAAGAAAGACCCCCTTTTGTTAGAGTTGGAGAGAACCCCCCCCACGCCCCCCCCGGCCTCCTTTGCTGGAGCTCTAAACCTTTCTTAGCAATTTCTTGGTGGCTCAAAGCAAGCGCCTTGTATGAATGGAACGGGGTCCCTATGTTTAAACCCCCCCCTCCCCATATCCTCAGCACCATCTGCTCTCTTACCCTCCAGCCTTTCTCCTTCCCACCCACCCCCCTGACCAAGGGAGCCCATCCCACCCAATTTCCATACCTCCGAAACATTTCCACGAGTTGATGGCTTTTCTGACACTGGCCCCCGCCCTCCTTTCCTCCCCCTTCTCATTCCTTTGCAGAGAAGGGCACCCCCCTCCTTCCAGGAAATGTATGTGGATGGGGAGGGAGGGAAGGAGGGGAGAGGAAGGAGAGGGGCTTCTTCCACCCTAAGACACCCCACTTTTTTTTTACCCATTTCTGTAAAGAAATGTTAAAAGTATGTCAAAGGACAATGGATGCCCGTCCCCTTTGCGACCTACCAGCTGCCGCTGGCATAAAAGAAGACACACACACACATAGAGGGAGGGTGGATTGGGTGGGTGGGTGGGGAAAGGGGGCAGTAGGTGACCTGAAAGAGAAACTTGTCCAAAGAATCAATGCCCCCTCCTCCTTAACAAGGGGGGACAAACACAGGGGTTTGGTTAAGCCGGAGAAGGAGGTCCCTGGACCAGTTAACAGGGCTGGGTCTTTCCTTGCCCCTGGCGGGAGTGAGCATTAACTGCCTTCCCAGCTTCTCTCTGTTTCCCTTGGGGCAGAAAATTCAATTAGTCTCAAGCAAATGGCTTCCTAAGGAAGAAAGAGACACACACACACACACACACACACACAGAGAGAGAGAGACAGAGAGAGGAGAAAGAAAACAGGAAGAAAATGGGCTTTTATCTGTAAAAGAAAAGGGACTTTTTCAGAAGCAATGGGAAATTGCTTTTCTTTTCTTTCTCTCTCTTTTTGTCCCAAAGGTGCTTTCCCCCCTCCAAAAGGAAGGCAACTGGACTTTTGGCTTTTTCCTTGAAAACTGAAGAAGCTTCTTGGATGAGAAGTGAAACGTTTTCAAGGAAAAAAACCAAGAAGATCTTGTTGCCTTTCAGAAAAGCATCTTTGGGACAACCATGACCTGGATGATTGAAAATCTCCATAGACTTGACTTAACTTGACTTCTCTTCTCTTCCCCCTTTCCTTTCTCCTTTTCTTTCCTTTTTCCTTTTCTTTCCTTGTGGCAGTGGTAAGCGCAAATCCATTGTTCACTACGGATGCAGTTTTGCCAAAAACTGGAAGTTTATTTGCCAGTTTGGGGCAAAACCATTGTAAAATATGTTCCCAGGTCTGTGAAACGTTGCAAACAGCCATGTATGTGGCTGTGTTGCCAAGCACTTGAGGTGTGATCACATGAGCATGGGAAGGGAATTGTTGAAACTTTGGGTATGGTTCATAAGTCCCCTTTTTCAGGTAGTTTGAATGGTTGCTACGTAGCCGGTCCTAAAGTCCCAGGAGGAAGGGGAGGGAGTGAATTCCAGAGGAGGAGGAAGAGACAACACAGTTTAGAGAGTTTGTGTGTGAGAAAGAGATTGAAGACAGTTCCTCCTCAATGGTTCCCGGAGTAGCTGTTTTAGGGTGGACGTCGTCTGCTTTGGTTTGGCAAGTTTTCTGTCTATAGGTGAGGAACAATAAAGGAGGCTGCTTAGAAGAACCTCAATATGTCTTTCTTGGTTTCTGGAGCCTGATGACTTTGGGTAAACACTTCCTGTTGGAACCAGCTCAGAAGTCCAGAAAGAAAGAATAGGGTGGCCAGGCTGATTTGCAGGGGTAAGAAATGCTAGAGCTGAGCCTTGAACAGATGCTTTCTCTTCGGCCAAGCACACAAGCCGAATTCTGCAAAGAAAACGTGGCTATAAATGATGCAGAAGCGACTTTGTAAAGGGAGAGGGCTTCTCTCTGCGCCCATCCAGCTGCTAACTCCCTTTTCTCTCATCAGAACATCTGGAGAGAGTTTTATTTGCTTCTTCCTCTCCTGCCCTCTCTCCCACTCGTAACCTTCCCGCTGCTCAGGGCTGTTTGCAGCCGGCGTCTGCGTTTTGCCATCTGCTTATTGCACATCCCAACGGAGAAATATCGAAGCAATGTTGGAAGATCTGGAAAAAGTGGACCGTGTGGGGCCTTCTGGGGACAGCTTGGACTCCACAGAGTCACCGTGTCTCACAGATGCACCTGTGTAGGGGTGTCATTTTGCAACCTTGTGACATCTCTTCCAGTCCACTCTGCAGTCACGCCAAAGAACCCACTCCAAGATCCATATGGGAAGGTCTGGAGAGGTTTCCCAGTTCTGGAGCAGTGACTGAAAGGCAGGGAAAATGCAGAGTTTTAGTCTGAGGACTTCATATTGTTTAGCAGAAGCTCCATCTCAATCTTTGGTGGTGATTGTTTTGTTTTGTTTTTTTTCCACCTGTGTATTTCTTTATTTCAAGAAGCTTTCAAGAAGAGATTGGACAACCCTTTGGCTGAAATGGCATAACATCTCCGGCTCGAGCAAGGGGTTCGACTAGAAGATCTCTAAGGTCCCTCCCAACCCTATGATTCTATTTTAAATTTCCCTTCTTTCCATTTAAATGATCATTTAACCATTTGTTTTGCTGTACTTTTTAAAACAGTTCCTGTTCTCTCCCTCTCTTTCTCTTCTTTTCTTCCTTCTATCCATCCATTCATCCATCTCTACATCTCCCTTCTTTCTCCCTCCTTCTCTCTAGCCATCTCTTTCTCTACCTCCAACTTCTCTTTCTCATCTATCTATCTATCTATCTATCTATCTATCTATCTATCTATCTATCTATCTATCTATCTATCTATCTATCTCTTCTATCTCTATCTATCTCTTTAGCTAATCTCTCTCTCCCTTTTTAACTCTCTACTTCTCTCTCTCTCTCTCTCTCTCCTCAATCTCTCTTCTCTCTCTCTTTCTCTCACTCTTGGCAGTTAAAGTCATGGGAAAAGATCAGAAAGCAAAGGTGGCCACCGTGAAGACCTGCGAGACATCAGCTGGGGGGGACCTTGCTTTGCTGCCAAATACGGCAATGCGCAAGATCAGTGGAGAACCAGCCACAGATGAGCCCTGAGCCCTGTTTTTGCTTGCATTCCACAGCACCCTTCTCTTGGGACTCCAGAGCCTCAGGTTGGAGCAAGCCACAGATGGTAGCTGCAGGGACCACCCCCCCTCCTCATCTTCCTCCTGACCCAACCCCCCCCCCCGGGGTCAATGCTTTCTAAGCAGAGTGAAGGCATAGCTGGGAGGGGGGCGGGTGGGATTGTAGGTGGAATTAGCTCATCGTTTCCTCCAGCTTTGCTCCATTAGCAGAACTTGGGAGAAGAAACTTCCGCTCATATTTTTCTATCTAGCTCATGAATCTGATTTCCCAAGACAAGAGGAGAGATGGTTTAAGACTGCTCAGCCGGCCTCTCTCTCTCTCTCTCTCTCTCTCTCTCTCTCTCTCTCTCTCTCTCTCTCTCTCTCTCTCTCTCTCTCTCTCTCTCTCTCTCTCTCTGAAAGCCTGGGAAACTGGGTTAGAAGAGTCAGCGGCTTCCAGGCTGTGTCCAAGAGATTTGGACATTGGCTGGCTGTGTGATCCCTTGGAGTCTCTTCTGGCTCATTGCCCTTCTCTGCACTGCAGATTGGAAGGGTGGCCTGGTGGGGATGGAGGAAGAAGAAGACGGGGTGGTGAAGAGCAAAAGGAGAGGACATCTCTGGCTTTGCTCCTGCTTTCTAAATATCAGCAACCACAACATCTCTCTCTCTGAACATACGTGGCCTGGCAGAGGGCACATCATCTTGAGTGACCACCAGGGATCCCCCGTTCAGATAAGGTGGAGCTGGTCTGTGACTCTGTTTCACCAGGGTCTTTGAAAGCAGAGAAGGAGTGAACGTAGAGAAACAGAGAAGTTGGATGTCTCCAATTCCTAGAAAAGGAAGCTTCAGTCACAGGCTGGATGCGAATTGGCACAGGGTTTGCAAATCTGCACGGTTGGTGGTGCTACCTTCTCGAGAAGTTCTGCTTTGTTTAGCAATGGAGAAACGTGCGCACTGGTTAGAATGCAGGATTGCAGGCTAATTCTGCCCACTGCCTGCAGTTCGATTTTCACCAGCTCAAGGTTGATTCAGCCTTCCATCCTTCCGAGATCGGTAAAATGAGGATCCGGATTGCTGGGGGCAAGAGGCTGACTCTGTAAACCGCTTAGAGAGGGCTGTAAAGCAGTGTATAAGTGCTATTGCTATTGCCCTCCCCCCTCTCTCCCTTCCTTCTTTCCTTCCCGCCCTCCCTCCCAGAGGTCAGAATGCAGTATTGCAGGCTTGTCCACTGCCAGGAGTTCGATCCTGACCAGCTCAAGGTTGACTCATCTTCCATCTTCCGAGGTCGGTAAAATGGGGACTTAGATTGTTGGGGGCAACATGCTGTAATCCACTTAGAGAGGGCTATAAAGCACTGTGGAGCGGTATATAAGTCTAAGTGCAATTGCTATTGCTATTACTCAGCTGAGATTTTCCTCCAGTTCCTGCCTCCGTCCATCTCCATCTGGCCAAGCGGTTGATGAGAACCAGTGAGAACATCATCCCAGATGAAGGCTGGTGAGGATGAGAGAGAGAGAGAGAGACACCTGTGGGGAGACAATGGCTTGTGTTTGTGGGAACGCATTCCCCCCTTCGCACTCACTCGCAGCAACCAACCTAGACTGTCAGGAACAAGTTCCCAGCTCCACATACCTGGACGTAGTAGATCATCCATTCTCAGGAGACCCAGAAATCCATCCCCATTGCATCTGAGGCAGGACATCAGCAAAAGCAGCTGTTCTTGATTTGCAGCCTGTGAAATAAAGGAGGCGAGGACGAGGGAGAAATGTGTTTTCCATTTGTCTCCTGGTGATGCTGAAAGAGAAGAAACGGAGAGAGTTGCGACCTCACTGGCATGCTCCACAAGGCCCTTTGTTCTAAGACAAACCAAGCTGATGGTAGCTTCTTCCCCTGAAATTGTAAACAGAACTAGCCCTCTGTTGCTGCGAGTTTGGCCTTTCCCACAATAGACAATGAAGAGGTGGGAATTGGCATCTTGCAGGACTCAAACATCTGCCTCTGTTTGAGTCCAGCAGCCAGCCAGAGGCAAGGAACAACTGGAGGAAGAAAGCCCCACTAGTCTTTGCCGACTAGGGGAGACAATGCTTATCTCTCTTGCAAGGCTGAAGACATTTCTGCAGTCGTGTGGTCAGCATGATGTTACAGAGCGTGGTTACATTCCCACAAAGTGGTACCTATTTATCTACTCGCATTTGCATGCTTTCAAACTGCTCAGTGGGCAGGACCTGGAGCAAGAAACAGGAGCTCATCCCATCATGTGGTGTTTGGATCTCTAACTTTCCAACTGACAAGCCCAGTGTCTTTAACTGCTGAGCCCCCGTACTTCCTAGATAGATAGATAGATAGATAGATAGATAGATAGATAGATAGATAGATAGATAGATAGATAGATAGATAGATAGATAGATAGAGCAGATAGATAGATAGATAGATAGAGAGAGAGAGAGCAGATAGATAGATAGATAGATAGATAGATAGATAGATAGATAGATAGATAGATAGATAGATAGATAGATAGATAGAAAAAGCCTAACAGTGCCATCAAAATTGCCATCTTGGATTTTGTCTTTTGCTTTTTTGATATCTTACAGATGTCCCTGCTTCGCACCCACCCCTTTCTCTCAAATGAGGGGATTAATTTAATAGGGACATTGACTAGCGGAGAAAAAAGGAGGTTTCCTAATTACAGGGAACAATTAAAGGACAAAATGCAGGCCGTCTTCTCAGTTACTGGGACAAATCACCGGGTCCTCAATGAAAGTCTTTGTCTCTTTCTTTTGCTGGCCTAACTACACACTGAGGCAGAAGGAAAGGATCTTGCTGGAAAATAAATAGTCTGTTTCCCTCCATCCTGCAGAGCAGGGAATTCTTAAATAGTTATGTTTTCAATATCCTGGGAAACAGAAGGGGCCTGACAGATGCTGATGGCTGGTGGTCAATTTTGCAAAAAAAAAAAAAAATTCCCCACTGTAAAGGAACCATAGCCCTTGTGCAAGGTCTTTTGGGGTGCCTGAGCATTTTAGGGAGGTCTGCTACTTTAATTACTTATTTTTCACGGCCAAGAGTAAATTGCACTGGTGCAATTTTTGTTTTTGAATTGCTTGCCTGTTTGTAGTAGTCTGGGTTCCCCCCCTCCTCTGCTGCAGCAATGCACTTCTCAGGTATGTTTACCTGTTATTATCTTAGCCTCATCGGTTGAGTGCATTAGCCAGTCTAGTTGGCAGATGGAAAGGCTGGATGTGCATGTTGAGTGGGGGTTTTTTGGCTTCAGGAGATAACTTACAAATAAGTTTCCATCCGCTGCTTCTTGTCCTGCCTTCAGGTGTTTTGGAGAACAGCTTGACTCCCTCTTCTTTGGGGCAGCCCCTGAGATACTGGAAGACTGCTGTCATGTCACTCCTATTTCTTCTTTTCTTTAGACTAGCCAAACCCAAGTCCTGCAGCCGTTCTTCGGATGTTCTCTGCCTTCTGCAGTGCAAAGAGCTGGAACGGTGGATGAGGTGTGTTCCTCTCACAAGGTGCCTCCCAGCCAGTTTTTTGCTTTGGGGAAGGAACATGCCAACACCCCCTTTATCAATGGGGGGGGGGGAAAGCAGGGGCTGTGGGGGCAGCCAGCAAGGGGAGGAACCGGTCCATTCTATGGAAGCAGAAATTCAAGCCTTGTTGAGATGGCTTTTGAACAGTGGGCTGTTTATCCCCTACAGCGCCTCTGGTTTGCCACGTCTGACGAACCTGGGCAAGTAGCAACCGGGTTAAAGGATTGTCTGAAAGATAAACCCTTCTCTTTTCTGCTCAGCCCAGGGAAACCGCAGGGCTGGGCTGGGCTGCTGTTTGTGCAATGGGCTTGTGGTGCTCGGCTGGCTGGCCGATGGTGGTAGTCGTGTTAAATCTCCCACTTGATCCCAGCAGGACCACTTTGCGTGTTGAGGATCCCACGTGGATTTTCTCAGGAGCATTGCCTGGGAAGACCCAGAAGGCAGATGGGCTCCTGCCTGCCACCAAGGAGGAAGGGACTCACACTTCTTCAACAAATGAAAACAAGTTTTGGAGTCACCCTCCTTTCCCATTTGTTTTGCTTCAAGCTTTGGCACTTTCTGGAATAGCGGGTTTGTTAGATGAGGACGGCAGGATTTGCAGGGACCCCAAAACTTCCCTTAGCACCTTTCCTCCCCTGCTCCACTGGACTCTTAATCAAATATTTTTCCAATTAAAAAGAAAACAAAACAGGGAGCTGACATGCTGGGAAGCCAGGCGCCAGCCACAAAGCTCATGTTTATTGATAGGAATCCCACCCAGCAGACCCCAAAATCTCACTGAGATGGCATAAGTCTGGGGAACATTTTTTTTTCTTTTTCTCCCAAACATGCAAGGAGAAACAATTGAGGATACTGGGCAATCAAGAAGTAACTACCCGTGTTGGCTTTGCATAGATTTTTTTTTAAGGTCCTTTGAAGAAAGCAATAACGAACTCACAGAGAATAACAGAAGAGTTGGAAGGGATCTTGGAGGTCTTCTAGTCCAACCCCCTTCTCAGGCAGGAGACCCCATACCATTTCAGACAAATGATTGCCCAATCTCTTCTTGAAAACCTCCAGTGTTGGAGCATTCACAACTTCTGGAGAGCCCACACTCAATCTTAATGTTCTTGAGGGGCCTACTCATCAGAAAGAACTGGTCATCTTTTTTTGGTGTTTTTTTATCTCAAGGAGACCTCTTCAGTGGTCCTCGAGGTAAAAAAAATGGCTCCAACCCATCAGCCGGTGCCAAATAGGAGGGTCTCCCATTTGAAGAAGACCTTCTCATCCGTCTCCTGCCTCTTCATGGTCCACCTCAAGCTGTAAACATAGAAAGAACAGTTGCTGGAATTGGGTAGGTCTAGTTTAATGAAAAGAAGAAGTAGCAGTTTTCCTATATCTCAGGGGTTGCCACATAGAAGAGGGGGGTCCACCTATTCTCCAAAGCACATAAAGGCAGAACAAGAAGCAACAGTTAGAAACTAACCAAGGAGAGAAGCAACCTACAATGAAGGAGGAAGTTCCTGGCTGTAAGAACATCATTGGAACCACTTGCCTCCAGAAGTTGCTCCAACATTGGACGTTTTTAAGAAGAGATTGGACAACCCTTTGTCTGAAATGACCTAAGGTTTCTTGACTGAGCAGCGGGTTGGACTAGATGACCTCCAAGGTCCCTTCCAACTCTGTTATCCTGTGGCTCAGGATTTCCTGTCCGAGACTCCATCTCAAGAGAAGTGGGCCAGAAGGCTGGAGAGAGACCAGCCAAACACCAGCCAAGTTCCATCTGTCAAGTGTTAAAGAGCAGTGGCTGTCTAATTCCACTTAACAGCTCTGCTTTTGTTGTCCGTACGGAGAGCAGTGGATGCACCGTGAGCTTAATGAGACCCATGCAGCTGGGAAAACTTTCCATGGGCTAGTTCACAGCCTCTCATACCTTGTCTCATCCCTTTCGCATCTGGCCTGCAGGATTCATCACTGTTTAACTAGCCTTCCCCCCTCCTCACCTGCTGTTTCTCTCGAACATCACAACCCTGGGAAATTTAGAAATCCCTCCGGGAGCAGATGGCTCTAGGTCCCTGGCGTGTGGGAGCAAAAAGGAGGAGGAGGAGGGCTTTGGGTTCACTTCTGTTCCTGATGGTCCTGGAAAACAAACACAATTCTGTGAGATAACAGCACTTCAGCCTGATAGCGAAGTGATAGTTCTTGGAACTGAGTCAAAAAAAAAACAACAACAAAAAAACCAATCACAGACTCACAAGCGAAATCTTCCCAGCGTCCAGTCCAAGCAATTTGATTCGATTATCCCCTTTATAGCTAGTCCAGTGCGTTGTTGTGGTTTTTCTTTTTTTCTTAATTCTTTTTCAGTTTGCCAACTTACCAGAAGTTAAATTTATTCCAGATGTCTCTCATGTTGAGCAACTCTGGAAACACTTAACTTTTTTTTTTCCTTCCCTACTTTGTTTCACCTTGTGCACAATGGAGCAAGAGGGCGCACCTATTTGTACGTGGCCCATGTTCAGGTTTGCCACAGTTTGTGGTTGGAGGTTTGTTTTGAAGATTGTGTTATGTCTGTCTAGGCTTTCCTTCCCTGGAAATGTATTTCTCCACTTTTGGTGTGTGTTCTAATTGGCGAAAAAGAGAGATTGTTGCAGCACAAAGAAATTAGGATTTCCCAGTGTGATGTTCTCGCCTCCATAGAAGCAAATTTCAATTTCCTGTGAAGGTTGTTTAAAATAGAATAGGATAATGTGATTAAAAAGGCAGATTTAAGCTTTGATAATGTTACTGGGAATATGATTCACTATGCAGCATCAGCCAAAGATGTAAGATCTGAGTTCCTTTTTTCCATCTATTCTTCCCCTTCTTTCCTCCCACCCCCCCAAATATTTTTTGGGGGGGTTTGGAAGTTTGGGCTGATCATCTCTGCCTTTTGCCACCAAAATGTCACATTTCTCTGACTCATTTTGCTCGATTTGTAAATCCCCAAAGCCTTGTGTGGAAATTGCTGTTGGTCCCGTCACCTTAACTGGTCCTGAGAAACACTGTGCAGAACTAAAGAGCCAGAACGACACTTTGGAAATTAAAGTCAACAACTCAACGCTTTGTGGGTTGACCAACCGCTTCTCACTGGTGTTGACAGAACTTGTCCGTGTGTGAAGACACGAAGCAGATGGCTCCTTGTGACTTCCAAAGGCACAACTCAAGCCTGTAAATGCTTTCACACACACACACACACACA